TCCTCCTGGAGAAGGATGTATCTGGGCATGGGTGGTGCACAGGGCAGCTGATGAAGAGGCAGTTGCTCTCTGCCAGGCTCAGGGGTGAATTCAACACCACAAAAGGCAAAGCACTTATTATCTCAGGCTGTCTGGGTGCTCTTACTAGCACTTGGCTTTGTTCAGCCCAACAGACCCTGGCCATCAAGGTGGGAGGTGTTACCCCATTTGACCCAGCCTGCCCTGGCTCAAAGAGGGGCCTGACACATTATTTCATTCATGTCCCACCTTCACAACCACACCAAAGCTGAGAATAGCCAGACCCTTACTGAGAAATGACAGCTGTTAGAAACGATGTCAGTACTCTAGCTCACAACAGGAAACTTTATTAAACAACAGGAAGCCCATCCTCATGCATGGACTTACAAAACACCTCACCTTCCTCTCCCCTTGCCCTTTCAGTGCCGTGGGGCTGGCAGACAGGGCTCTAACTCTCATCTCCACGCTGCTGGGCTCAGAGCCAGTTCTTTGTGGCAGAGTCTCACAGTTGTCTCCAGCCCTCAAACTGCTCTTCTCCAAACCCCACCTCAACCCTTGCTCCATCGTGCATCCCTTGGCTGCTGACCTCGGCTCAGAAGATGGGTGGTCCAGAGCTGAGCTGGCTGGTGAATCGTTCCCTTCCACTGGGCTCTGCTCAATATCCTGAGCTCAGACTTGACCTGCTTGATAGGAAAGGTTCCTGCCTGCAGCTGGCTGCCATGAGGAATGTGAACATCATCCTGCAGCACTACAACTTCACAGGCAAGCTAACCAATCGGCAGTCTGGGGATGAGGGTATGGGTCTCATCCGCACAACCTTTGCCATCATCAGCTGCATCATCATCCTGGAGAATCTGCTTGTGCTGATGGCCATCCTGCGGTGTCTGCGAGCCCGCCGCTGGGTCTACTCCTGCATTGCGAGCATCACCGTGAGCGACCTGCTTGCAGGGACTGCCTACCTTTCTAATCTCTGCCTCTCAGGCAAGAAGACCTTCCAGCTTTCACCTCAGCTCTGGTTCCTGCGGGAAGGCATCCTCTTCATTGCACTGGCTGCCTCCACCTTCAGCTTGCTTGTGACTGCCATCGAGCGCTACAGTGCCATGGTAAGGCCAATTGCCGAGAATGAAGCCAGCAAGACCCTGCGCTTACGCAGCCTGATCATTTTCTGCTGGCTGCTGGCCTTCATCATTGGACTGCTTCCGCTGCTGGGCTGGAATTGTCTGTGTGACTTCAATGCCTGCTCTGTCCTCCTGCCTCTCTACTCCAAGAACTACATCCTTTTCTCCGTAGTCATGTTCAGCATCATCCTCCTGGGGATCATCGGCCTCTACATCTCCATCTTCCAGCTGGTCCAGGCCAGTTCTAAGCAAACTACTTCTCGGCACAGCCGCAAACGGTCCCTGCGCTTGCTCAAGACTGTGCTGATGATCCTGGGTGCCTTCATTATCTGCTGGAGCCCCCTATTCGTCCTGTTGCTCTTTGATGTCTTCTGTGACACCCAGACCTGCACACACCTCCACAGCCTGGACTGGACCTTGGCTTTGGCCATGGTTAACTCAGGCATTAACCCCATCATTTATTCCCTCCGGAGCGTGGAGGTTCGCCGTGCTGTGGGAAGCCTGCTGTGCTACTGCTGTGTCAGGGTTGGGCTTTGCAAGCCTGGAAACTGCTTGGTCATCACAGACATCAACTCTGGCTCATCCACAGAGAGCTCCCTCCGATACCGGGAGAGCTTCCGCAGCTCTGTAGCACTGAACACCCGGCCCAGAGCACCTCTCTCCAGCAACTCCAGCATGATGAGCAATCTCCCCAGCCTCTGAGAGGCCATGGGGAGAGCAAGAGATGCCAGACAGCCCACCAGGACATCATGCTGCTGGTTGTGGCCTGGCAGAACTGTACCCTACATGCAGCTCGGGCTAACCAGGTGTAGTCCTACCCCAGCTGTTAACTGTGGCCAGGCTTTCCAGCCTCTTCAGACTGGGATGTTTCTTCAGTGTGGGTACAGTACAGGGACAGGCATTGCTCCTAGGATGGGAGTGAAGGATATGGGCACATTTTGGGATAGATGCTCTGCTGAGACAACTGCTGTGCCTAGGTTATAAGTGGACCCTGCTCTGTGTGTGCATGTATATAGATGCTGTACCTGCCCAGATGAGGGTATTTTGCCCCAGGGCACAGTGAGGAATAGGGTGGGTATCCCCAACCAGACTGCTCCCCAACCCTTTGGGATCAGGCTGGGCTGGCAGTGCAGCCACTGCATGTTATGTAGGGCTGGAGGCAATACCTGAGTCTTCTCCTGCAGTTTACAGCCTTCTGGAACTGCTGTGATGGGCACAGCTGCTGGAAAGGATGCAGGCTTGATGTCTTGCCAGGGAGTCAAGAACAACTAGGTTTGCAAGTGCAAGTGTGTGCAGCTGTGGGGTAGCTCAGAGGCCCCTGGACAGGAACCAAGTGCCCACCTGTAGTGTGGCACAAACCAGCCACAGGATGGCAGAGGGCTGCAGCAACAGCCCAGTCACTCACCAGAGTGCAGAGGCTGGGCACTGTGCCTGGGCAAATGTTGTGACACTGCTTACAGCCTGGCAGCAAGAAGTAAGAGCCCTGCTGTGCCTCTGGGCATGGGGCTGCACCTTGCAGTGATAGCCCTGGCACCACCACGGGCAGAAGGAGGTACCCACAGTGACTGGGGAGTCTGGTACCATCCTGCATGGCAGAGCTACCTGCTTCCATCTGGCTGAACCTCTCAGGTAACATATGCCTGTACAGCAGAGGGTTCGCAGCACTGTGGCCTCTCAGAGAGGTGGTCATGCTCTGGCAAATCTGCCAAGTTCTAAGGTCCCCACACAGGGGGAGGTGCCCACTGTGATCGGCACTAGAACGTTGAGCAGCAGCTTCTAGATGGCTTTGCATTCTATTGTGTCTGGTGGGGTTTGGCTCACACCTGAACAGAAGCAGCAGGAATTGTTTCCTCTTCTTTTTTTTTGGGCCAAAAAGGCTGCATCCTTCCAGAAACCTTTTTGAAAACAGTGTTTGCAATAGAGCAGATTTGCAAGAATCACTTCAGCAGCCTGGAACAGAGTCATCACCCAGCAAGAGCAGGGTGGAGCCTGCCCCAACCCCTTCTGAAGTTCAGCACAGTTGGGGAAAGGAATGAGGGGGTCTGATCCTAGCATGTTTTCTCTAAGCGCTACCACATTTGGAGAAGGGGGTTGCCCATGCTCTGCCAGGGAAATGTTCTGAGGGTCTCCACCTCCCGTGAACTGGGCAGCATCAACAGCAGAGAAGGTACCTAAGGAACCCAGGAGCCCAGGCTGACAGCAGTCACATATGGATTCTCCCTGCTGCCCCAGGGCTGAGCACTGCTGCCCTGGCCTCTCTGAATACTGTGCCTTCTCTCCCCTGAGCTGGCAGGCCAGTGACTGCCTGGCTGCAGCCTCTGGCCCTGTCAGTTTGCTGGCTAGTATCTCTGAAGTGGCAGGAGAGATCCCAAGTTGCTGCAACTTCACCAGCAGGAAGCTTAAGAGGCTGCCAAGTTGTGCATGGACACAGCCCAGCTGGCAGCAGAAATGGATGTTTCCGTGGGCAGGCAGATAGCTATGCTGCACAAGGTTGGTGGGGGGAACTGTTCCCAGGGCGAGGTTGGCTGGGGCCAGCAGAGGCTTTTGCAGGGCTTGCAGACCTTTGCAGCAGGGCTGGCAGGGCTGGGGCTGTGACAGGAGTCAAGCAGCATTAGCAGCTCCCAAGGAGCGGGCAGAACATACAGAATGCCCACTAGCACAGGACGGGGAGGGGGGCAGGGGGCACAACGACACCCACATGCCGGGCCTGCATGTTACAGAAGTTCATTGGGGCCAGGCTTCATCCCTGGTACTGAGATGACTGTTCTGTGCTATGGAAAATGGCTGGCTCCAAAATAGACCCATTCCTGCCTGGGTCTGATAGAGACCTGGTGGTGCCCAGAAGGCACTGCCAGCTTGTGCCTCAGATTTTTGCTCTTCTATTCCCTAACCAAGTGAAAACTCAGAGTAGCACCCAAATGCCTCCTCTCACCATGCAAGGAGGCCAAAGCCACCCAAGCACTGGGGACGAGAAGCTCCCGACTACTTAAAACTTGCTGTCCTGGCCCCTCAGCAGGAGGTGCTGAGCTTCCAGCCATTTATTTGGTAATAAATCTAGATAAGAAAGCTCCTGTTTGATTTGCTATGATTTTATCTTCCTTCAGGTCAGGTACCCGGTGGCTGGTCCCATAGGCGAGGGGCCTCCTGGCAGCAGAGCAGGAGGTCTGATACCGCCAAGGGAGGCACCGAGGCAGCCGGTATGGGACAGGGCTGCGAGCTGGGGCAGAGCCCGGCTGCCCACTCAGTGTGCCCCTCGGCTGGGACCCAGCTCGCTGCTTGGCACAGGGCCGCGCCGGCTGCACCCTCCGTGTCCGAGCGTGCCCGCAGGAGCACGCAGACACTCCCCGTAGGCCCGGGACAGCCGGAGCCCCCCGTTCCGTTCCCGGGGCGGTACAGCCGGAGGCAGCACGGCCCGGAGAGGTGCTGCGCTGTGCCCCGCACACGCGCCGGCACGGGGCACTTTCCCCGCCGCTGTTCGGCGACGCGTCTGACATGACTGCGCGGGTTCGGTTCACAGTTCCCACTGCCGCGGGCAGTCAGCGCCCTGCGGTCGGCGCGGAGCACCCTGCCCGTCCGCCCGGCGCGGAGAGCGGCGGGAAGGAGCGCTGAGGGAGGCAGCCAGCGCCCCGGGCGAGGGGCGGCGCC